TGATGAGTTTTTAAGGCAGACTAAGACCATGGAGCACAATCTCAAGAACCGGTACAAGTTGGAGGCACCACAGGCTGAGGGGTGAGTATTAGATTGTTGACTTAATAGATGTTTTTGTGGTTTTGTTGTATTAAGTCTTTGCTTGGATTTACACGTAGTGTTTACAGGAGAGACCGTGCTCTTATAACTTTTGTAAAATCAGGTGTTAGAGAGGGACTTTTTTTTATTATTTATAATTATTATTATGATTTAATGATCCTTGGTGTACATATTTCTTAGTGGTTGGGTGTATCATTTTTGTTTGTTTGGTACATGGAGATTTTGGCAATTGCTATATTTGGATAAATGGTAGTGGCTAAGGATTGTAGATAACTTGTGCGAGTTAATTTGGTGCGTTCTAATTTGAATCTGGGTTTCTTTATCGGTTATGGGCCTAATTATGTTTTTGGTCTGCATAAAATTGTTTGTTTAGCACTCTTTATTCTTTATTTGGGGTTTTTTTTCTAATCAATTGTTGGTTTTCTTTAGTGTTCTTCATATGAGTTTGGACTGAACAACGTTCAATGAAATGCCTTTACAGATTCAATTTGAGTATCGATGAAAGAAAGGCCAAGTTGATGGAGATGTTGTAGTAGGAAATGATGACAAGGATGATGATGAGTGAGGAATATTGAACAAGTCTGGATTGTCTTTCTAATTTGAGTATCTTTTTGTTTTATTTGGTAATTAGCCCTTTACTGTAGGTTAAGCTAGACATTTGGCGCTTCTATGTTGACGTGGATTAAATTTTTGTGGTTTTATTAGCTAATGAGATAAAATAATATTTGGCTACTTAAATCCATCAATTATCGAGACATTATTAGTTATTACAATATCCCTAATTTAGATATAGCGTCCTTTTTTTCCTATTTCTTCTAATTTCCATAAATAATTCTTCTCATTGCTTAGATTAAAGATTAATGAATTCATAAATTTAGGTGTATTTCTCCTACACAATTAAATGGTTTTTTTTATTAAAAAAATAATTACAGTAAGGGTAGTAGCTTTACCTAAATGCACCTATATCGTTGGGTTTGAATTATATCATAAGCTAAGCCCTTTGAAAAGTTTTGACTTACATTACATAATCTTCAACTGAATGCATTAGTTTATTTGAAAATTTAAATATTCCAACATACAAATTACTAAAAAAAAAATCGTTGCTTTCAGTAGTCTTTTCATGAGTAATGCAGGGTCTCCGAGACTTTATAACCGAAAACAACATCGTTGAAGGCTCTGTTTGTGAATTTACGCTAATAACACATGATGGAATGAAAAGAATTGCTTTTAAGGTTGAACTTTAGTATACCTTGTGGTATTTTTTTGGTAGATTGTTAAGTAGATATTGATCTGTTGATTTTTAACGCAACTTCTCAAATATTGCGTTCAAATAAAAAAAATCTATTAACGCTTTTATTAATTGGTATATATTTTATTAAATTATTGCATTATTTAATTCCTTATGCATTTTATGTTAAGTTATTTGAATCAAAATTTAGAAATGCCATAAAATGTGGGTACGCATGTATGTTTTAAATTTTCTCAAATATTAGTTATAATTATAGACTGAATTAGGGCCGGCTGTGCGTGCACAGCCACCGGACAACTAGTATAGTTTATATGTTTTATTTCATCCATTATAAAATAATACTCATTTAATTTTAAATTCTGTTTAAATTTAAGGAACATGAAAATTTAATATATTTAAATATTAGCAATAAATAATATTCACAAAAATAATTCTCTATCTCTTTCCTTACTCATACCTTATCACAATTAATTGTTTTGATTTCTAAATAAGTAAAGTTGAAAAATTGTGGCAAATATTGTAAGCTAACACTTAATTTAAAAATAATATAGTGTATATTATTTTAAAGTAATAATTTGTAATTATGTCAAAGTTGTTTTAAATATCTTTTTATAACATATATTATATATTTTGAATGTTTTTATGAATCTAATAATTCATATGACAATCCGACACCGGTTGATTTATCATTACAATTTATAACAATATACATTATAAATATTTTAATTATTTTTCTAAACTAAGAATTTACATCTTTGGTGGAAAATTTTTCAGCTCTATTTACATGCCAAAAGTGAAAAAAAAATTTATTATTTTTTTTAAGTCATTTGTATTAAATATTAAGGTATAAATATATTTGGCCATATTAACATTTCCTGAACAAGTATATATTACCCCTGATATACTTCAAGTATAGTTTGACTTTAAACATTGCAAATTAAATAGCCAAATTCCAGCACACACAAATCACATTTTGCTCAATAGGCCAGTATAAGCATCCATATGTTTTTTTAAATATATATTTTATATGTATACTTTTAAATTGACATGTCATTTTCTAAAAAAATTTAAAAAAATATATGACGTTTTATAGTATAAATATGCATTTTTATTAAGTGACAGTCGACCTACCTAACGGCTAGGCCGACTCACAAAAAAATTTGTGCAGTTTGCTTGACATTAGGAGTGGGCACAAAGAAAAGAACTTGTACCCAAGCAAAAGAAGTTGTGTTTCAGTGTGTATCTCAAGTGACTTAAACTGATGAAGCTTATACCACACATTTTCACTTAAATTCCATTTTCCACTTTAATGAGTTTGAACAAACTTTATTAAATACAACAGGATCTTACAAAGGTTAGCAGTATATTTATTTTCTTTCCTCAAAAAAGAGGACTTGATAAAAATGGAGCTTATCTCATATGCCATTGCATATGTCTTGTGATTGAAGTAAGCTGGTTTTGTTGGCTTTGTATAAATATGACACATTTTCTTGATTGTGACAAACAGTCTCTTTGAGGCTTTTGAAGAGAAAAAAAAATGAAGATTCTATCTTCTGCAGCCATCATTTTCCTCCTCATTCTCTCTGTCTCCGCAGGTAATTAACTAACTAAACATGGTTCGGTTACTTATATTTAGAGAACCCCATATTTGTTATATTTATGAATGTCATATATTGTCTAAAAAAATCCCATGCTCTTTCTTAAAATCTCGGGCCGGGTTCTCTAATTTTGGGTTTTTGTTTGTTTATTTGTTATTTTATTGCAGGAACAAATTTTGGGGATGCAGATAGTGTATGGATCCCAGAACACAGGTGCACTAAAAAACTGCATTCAGACAATATATGCAACTCAGATAAATGCAAGCAACAATGCTCTGTAAAGCCACAGGGCCATGGGATTTGCATTCGGACCAATTGCATCTGCACATACTTTTGCTATCAACCACCTCAATAATTAAACTTTATTTCTCATTATATATTGATATACACGAGTTTGTAATATATATGTATGTCATATTGTGTAACTATTAAGTGGTTTCACTCCATAATACATAACAAATATTATCTTGTTTGGTGTATAAATGCAACCTTTGCACCACTAGCTAGTATTACTGCTAATTTGGTTTGAGTTGCCTGATTATTTTTTCTGTTTTCAAGAAAGCATTTCCAAGTTTTGCATTGTGAAAAGGATCAAGTTCTTGAATATATTCAACAACTGTAAGGCATGTAACTTTCAATTTCTTTGCTATGGGCAGTTTCTATTCTATTAGAATATTGAGATTATTTTGCAGTTGAATTAATTCGGTCAAAGGATTACCTCAATTTCGGTCAAAGGTATAATTTGTTACCTATAGATTAAAACAAACATTGAAAATCTACTTTGTTCTACTTTTATATGGGATTATTAAAGGTTCATCATGTAACACGATTATAAATTGGTTTTGGAATGGAACCTCACTTGGACTTCATCTAAGCTCACCTTGTTATGGTGCGTTTCATGTGCGTGGGACTGCACTCGTTTCACCTCCGATTCTTACACTCAGAATCATAAATTCCATTACATGTTCAAATAAATACACATACATCGTAAAAACATCAATTTTGTATCAATTTAATTTACTATGATGATCAATTTATTATTGAGTTTATTTTTTGACAGACATAATCCTTACACAATCTAAGTATGAAAATGTTTGGCAAAAAAAAAATCTAAGTATGAAAATGGTGTAATAGATTGGCACGCCTCCGCCTCACATAATACTTGCACTTAATTGTGAATTTCAGTTATTGTGTAAATTGTGAACATCCAAATCATGTAAATCTAGCTAGGTAACTCATAACAATAATGAAAAGCAAATTTTTAGTACGAGTATTGTTTCACTTTTCTTTAGTTAGGCCCAAATCCACCCAACAATATATTTGATGGCACAGAAGCCCATTTTCTTTTCTAAAATGCAATGCCCATATAACTACTTGATTAGGTCCATAATCATGAACCAAGTGTTCTTTACTAAGTTGAAAAATACTAAAGAATGATTGGGCCATGGCATTTGTACTCACAAAGCCTTCTCAACTACTAGTGATTTAAGTTTCTTGAATAAGTTCGAAAGCTTTCAATTAACTTTATTGAAAATGACTGGTTTTTTTCTTTAACTAATTAAACTCTCTCTAATATGGAAATCGATAGAGAATCAAAACCATGCAAAGTTTCATAGCTTATGAAAGATGAATTCTCTCCCTAAATGAAGTCTTTATGTAAAGTGGAGACATTAAGATGTGTTCGCCAAGCACGTATTAAAATCTCGTGATCTTTGAACGATATATATTAATTTATAAATATATTTATCAATGTCTATCTTATGTAAGAAATTGGAACTTATATGATATAGATGATGATAATATTGCAATACAACAAATAATTATAAAAACATCGTAGTTAATGCTACAACGGTTGTCACATATTTAGATTTGCATAAGATGTGTCCAACTATGAGAATCAAGGTTGAATTTCAATTTTGTGTTGTAATTTTGCTCCTAACAAGATCATATAAATATTTACGAATGGAATTATGCGTCAATAAATTTTATGAATCTACTTTGACTAATTAAATTTCTTGTTTCGCTCTCAACGTCAAAACTTTTGCTCANTCCAATTTCATTTCCCTCACATATTATTATACAGTTGACTGGTCAAGTACTCTCTACTTTCCCCACCCTTTGCTCTCTATCATTTTTTTTTTTCGTTTGTTCTGTAAAACCCTAATTCCCCAAATTAAATCCATTTTCCGTCTCGTTTCTGTTGGTCATCTGCAAAATCTCCAGCTGTTTCTCTTTCTTCATCTACATGCAACCTCATTTCCTTCCGAAAGCTTCAATCTTTTTTCCCCAACCCCGTTTTCAATTTCCTAAAGATCGTCGAATCCCTCCATTCCCATCGAGTTTTTCTTCAAATTGATTCTTGATTCTTGAAATTCATTAGGTCCCCGGAGCGCAAAGCTGGCGATTTGTTCCCGGTGCCGGTGATGGCGGATCCGCCACAAGTCCGCGGAGCTGGTGTTTGAATTTTCGATTTTCTCTGGTTTTGGGTTTGAGCTGACACTTGAAGAGGAGGCTGAGCCGTTGAACTCTCTTAAGGTTAGGGTAAAATGCTGAGCGTGCTAAGGGTGCACCTGCCGTCAGATATACCGATCGTGGGGTGCGAGCTGACTCCGTATGTGGTTTTGAAGCGCCCCGATAAGTCCATCACTACAGAAGATGTCACTGAGCTGAATCCGGTTGACGGACATTTCTTGACATACAAATGGTGAGTTTGCTTGAGCATTGATTTTTACCAGCGATGTTTTTCAGCTGTTTTTATCCTTTTGTTCTGCTGTGATGAATATTCGTCAGACATGCACGTATTACCGATGATGAGCAGTTGTATGAATTGATATTCAAAAGCTGGTTTTGTGGAGTTCTGAGGTGATAAGTTTTACATGTCAAGTTTGAAATTAGAGGAAGAAAGGTATTCGATTTGTGGGTTAGTTGGCAATTTGCTTACTGTCTATGCATGAAAGATGGACTATCCTAGTGTTAATCTGTTAAAGCTGAGGGAAATACAAAATGGGTAAAATGATACTTGAATTGAAACTCCTTTACCTTTTTGATATTTCCTGGCCTTTTGATTCTCTTGATGCGTGTGTTTGGCAGCTAAGTGTCAGATTCTCTCTGTCATTAATGCTTTATCTTCGGCGTGTGAATTACCCGGGACTTAGGTACTGTTTCTGTTGGAACTTGGAAGAAATTGCCTAATTCGAGCGTAACACGTGTTTGGTGGCTGATTGCCACAATCATTGTCTTTACCTTATTTTTCAGAAGGGGGTCATTCGAAGCCCAATCTAAAATGTAAATTAGTAATTGAGTAGATGCCCTTACTTTCCATCTATCATGTTATTTCTACATGTTTAGGTTGTGCAAATGAACTTTAAAATTAATGTTGTCATGTAGAGCAAGTAACAATGTGCATTTAATTTATAAAAATGAAGACTTTTAAAGTCAATGTTGTTGTCGTGTAATAATTCCCAAATTTAAGTCATGCTATCCAGCGAATACAGTTAAATAATAAATGACAGAAAAGCAATCTCTAACTAGAATCTAATTGAGTTATTTACATCTTATTGTTTGAGTGCAAATTTGTTGGAATCTCCACCAGATGCCTATCTGAACAATGTACTCGAGTTGTGAATTAAAGTTCGTTATCAGTTAATCTGGTTCAGATACGCTGTTTACTTAATTACAAGATACCACCATGACTATCTGTGTGCTTTGTGTACGAACGCATGTTTGTGCTCACGTACGAATAAATGCTCCCATGCAGGTACCGTGTGCAGAGTGACCGAAAAGTTGCAGTCTGCAGCGTCCACCCAACCGAGCAGGCAAGCTTGCAGTGTATCTTATGCGTCAAGGCGAAAATACCCGTCACCAAGAGCTACCATTGTTCCTCGAAATGTTTTGCCGACGCCTGGCCCCACCACCGTGTCCTCCACGAACGTGCTGCCAGCGCTGTCAGCGAAAACGGCAATGAGGAGGATGAGATTTTAATGCAAAACGGCAGTGGTGTGAGCCTGCCGACTTCTCAGTCGAACCCCAACCTAGCCAACAGCAGCGCAACCCTCTACCCGTCTGCGGTTGCTCAGAGGAACGGCAGCGAGACATGGTTCGAGGTTGGGTACCACAAAACGTACACGCCTACAGTCGATGACATTGGCCACGTTCTTAAATTCGAGTGCGCCGTGGTTGATGCCGAGACGAAGCTGGCCGTGGGGCCCACCAATACGCTGCTGACCTCTCGCGTGATCCCGGCGCCCTCCCCCAGCCCGCGGCGATTGATCCCGCTGAGTGGGATGGACGTGCCTGGGAGTTTGGGTGTGGACGGAAGGATTATGTCGGCTGGAGCTTTTACGGTTCTCTCGTACAATATCCTGTCAGATAAGTATGCTACGAGCGAATCATATAGCTACTGCCCTAGTTGGGCTCTTTCGTGGACCTACCGTAGGCAGAACCTCTTGCGGGAAATAATTGGCTATCATGCGGATATAGTTTGTCTTCAAGAGGTACGCCGTCATTAGGAATGAGCTTATATTATATTATAGTAATTTTTTGAAATGTGTATTGAATTTTCATAAAGTAAGTTGTTTGCGGATTTAAGTTGTCTGGGTTCTTGTCATAGAAGTTGAATTTAACACTTACTGTTCAGGCTTATTATTATTATTATTATTATTATTATTATTATTATTATTATTATTATTATTATTATTACTACTTTAAATTATTATCACCTTCCTTATGTGGGCTCACTATCTCCTCTCAGGTTCAAAGTGATCATTTTGAGGAATTCTTTGCTCCGGAGATGGATAAACATGGGTATCAAGCTTGTTTTAAAAGGAAAACAGCAGAGGTTGGTAAAAGTAATCCTTTTAAATTCTGATGGTGAGGTTAAGCTGTTGCTGATGCACTGTGATGTTTTCCGTCCATAGGTTTTTGTTGCGTCCATCAATACTGTTGATGGCTGTGCTACTTTCTTCCGTCGTGATAGATTCTCTCACGTCAAAAAATATGAGGTGACCAAGCGGCCATCATGTTATGTTGCCTAACAATTCCAAGCTCAATTATTATTAATTAATATTTGCATTAATGCTTGTAGGTTGAGTTCAATAAAGCTGCACACTCTCTAACTGATGCTTTGGTTCCTAGTGCACAAAAGAGAAATGCTCTAAATCGGTTGGTCAAGGTATGATATAGCACCATCCTTTTTTTATGGAGTGTTAAATGCATTCACTTTATCAATTATCACATATATCCGATATAGAGAGCATTTAACATGCTTCTTTTCAAACAGGACAATGTTGCGTTGATTTTAGTCCTTGAAGCCAAGTTTGGTAGCCAAAGTATTGATAACCCGGGGAAGCGTCAGCTTGTTTGTGTGGTTAGTTTTTGTTTCGCCTCATAATGGCATTTATATTTTACGTTCTTTAATGCTCAAGAGGACAGCTAAATTAGTGCGTTTGGATGTTCTCTCCCCACGTTCTTGTTGGTTTCCCTAATGAACAGATATATATAGGAAATTTGAGTCAGGTTATTGCTTATATTTTGCCTTTGTTAATGTTATTATATTGCCTTTTCTTTCTCAAAACCCAGGCAAATACACATGTAAATGTGCCTCAAGAGTTGAAAGATGTCAAACTTTGGCAGGTTCATTCTTGATTTTCATGCTCTGTAATCTCTATGTCAGCCATTAGATTGTTGATTTCTGTGAATTTTTCATTTTTTATTTTTAAATTATTTTGTATACCTTTTTCCCCATCTCAGGTTCATACATTATTGAAAGGTCTGGAAAAAATTGCTGCTAGTGCAGACATCCCAATGTTGGTCTGTGGTGATTTCAGTTCGGTACCTGGAAGGTTCTCTCTCACACGTCTGTTCTATTTTATTTTTATCACGATAATCCTCTTAGCTTAAACAGCCATTTATCTAAAGTTCCATATGTTCCATATTTTTCGGTTCTCCACACAGTGCCCCTCATACTCTCCTTGCTATGGGGAAAGTTGATCCACTTCATCCCGACTTGACTATCGACCCCCTTGGAATCCTTCGACCAACTGCTAAACTAACGCATCAGCTGCCATTGGTAAAAACCAAATTACTACGGTTTCAAGTGTTGAAACAGCTGTTGAATTATTTAAAATATAAAATAACAGTAAAGAAAGAGTATAGACCTAATTTTGCATCTTGTTGGATTTGTGCATACTTTAGGTAAGTGCCTACTCATCCTTTGCGAGAGGTGTGGTTGGTTATGGCCTAGAGCAGAGAAGGAGAATGGATCCTGCTACCAACGAGCCTCTGTTCACTAACTGCACTAGAGATTTTATCGGCACCCATGATTATATATTTTACTCAGGTATACTACCCGCTATCCCTAAAATTCTAATAGCGAGCGATAAAAGAAAAGAAAATCCTTATGAAAATTTACATATCAACACTAATTTTGATTTACCCTTTTGTAGCTGACTCCTTAACAGTGGAGTCCTTGTTGGAGCTCTTGGATGAGGCTGACTTGCGTAAAGACACGGCCCTTCCTTCTCCTGAATGGTCTTCTGACCACATTGCACTGTTAGCTGAATTTCGCTGTATGCCCAGAAGGACTAGACGCTGAGTAAGAGGTATGTAAGAGGTATCTTTTCATATTTTATTTTTCGGCCCATGCTTGATGTAAGAACTTGCTGCCTGGATTTTCAGATTTTATCAATTTGGGCAAAATAATGAGCTTATAATTTTTTACTATTTTTTTTTTTTTTTTTATTTATTTCCTGCAGGTCTGTCTTACCCAAGAGATTATTGCACACAAGAAATTAGCTGGCAATGATATTTGAAACAGAGGAAGTGATTGTGAAGGTTGACCATTGTACCCCTGTTCAATTTCTATAGGTGTATGTATGTTTCTCCTACTGGGGGAGAGTGTTGTTTGGCTGCCTTTGTGTTGTGCTATAACTGTTGTACCCTATAGAAAAATACTTATAGTGCCTTATTTAGTTTTCCTCCCCTTCAAGTTGAAATAAAGGGAATTTGTCTTGTGCTCAATTTCACTACAGTACCATGTGTTTTTTCATTTAGTTTGAAAGAATTCCTTTTTCTTTTCCTTTTACAGTAGTCTCACAAATGAGTACATGTTAAAATTGACACTTTCTTTAAATGAATACCATATACACACAAGAAGCTGGGAACAACGTATAATAATTAACAAACAAAAACAACTATAAAATATATAACTTTTTCACCAATTACATTACATCTCCACATGTAAACCATAAATTGTACATCCATACTTCTTTTTAGGAGTAAAAGAAAGAAAGGAAAGGAGATAAATGTAACACTTGGTGTCTAGCTATGGACTTTGAAGCATTTGAGCTTCGGAAACAGCTCGAGCAGTTGGTCACGGCTTCTTCTCTGCAATAATATAAGCAAAAGGCCATATGGTTAAAAGGGTAGGTATTATTATTATTATTATTGTGATATTGTCCAAGAAGAAAACCTCAGTACCTTTATTCCAACACAACCATTAACATCAAGGGTCGTAATTGTATCTGAATGGAAGCTCGAGAGGACCTCCAAGCTCTTGTCCGTAATCCCAACTATACCAAACAGGCTACAAATACATGATAAACAACACAAATCTCAGTGATTTTCTTTCTTCTTTTTTTCCTTAATTTCGTAGAGTTCAATCTGGGAATGTATATACCAACCTAAGAAATTCAAGAGACCTGCAGCCTTTCGCAATAGCAATCACTCCTTCGTCTGTGACTCGCACGCACCTAATCATGTATCACACACGAGTTAAGTGTTCGGTACTTTCTACATTATTTATTCATGTATTCAAATGAGGCCATTGATAGACTAAGTACCACGTCAAATTGAGAGAAGTCAAGTTTTTGCAATTAGCTATACACGAGAGCCCGTCATTGGAAAGATTCTGTCATTTTAAGTGGAATCAGATTTATCGAGTAAAATAAGCTTCCATAACTACTACTTTCTATTAACAGCGTGTAGGTTTTAAATAAATCATACCTGAGCACCACAGAGATCTAAAAATTCAAGGCGACTCAAAAGTGATATCTTCTTGTAAGCATCGTCCGTGAAACTGTATAAAGAGAGATACGAACCAAAATATTCAGATTTTAATCTTCAATTGTTACTGTATATCATGATTTATTTTCTTCATTGTTTAAATTTTTACCTGGAAAGGGCATAAAGATTCAAGCTTGTAAGTGTGGGGATCTTGAGGAATATCATTTGCAGACCTTTATCCGTTAGCTTCACGCATCTAAATTTTATAGTTAAACTATGGATTAGTAGGTATAATAGACATGATAACTTAAGTTACAATATGATTTTAAATTATAAGGCTGCATTACCTAGTTAGGTTCAGCACCTGCAATCCTTGATAATTTTCCGCAATTAACTTCAAGCTTCCATCCGTGATATTCTGTAGTATCTCATAATTACCCCATGAAATACGTATTATTTTAGACAAGGGCCAATAGAGTATTGTAAATCAAGACCCAATCAAGACAAATGGGTCGTACGGTATACCTTACAACCACTAAGGTTTAAATCAATCAAGATTTTGCAGTTCCTCACCAAGTTCTTAACACCAACATCTGAAACCCTGAAGAAGAATTGAATTTTCGAATTTCTAACTCCAAAAAGAGAACAAAAACGGTGTACAATCTTATTGCGCAGCCAAAGGCAAAATGTACCTCACATTCCAATAGATTGAGAAGACCATTAATTTAGGGGAGTTGCATGTTATGAAATCAATTCCCATGTCAGATATCTTTTGGCAGCCATTCAGATTAAGAATCTCTAGGTTGTTAACAGAATGTCCACACTGCATACAAAGATATTTAAAAAGAAAAGTTATGCTTTGAGCAAAGCCAACAACTCCGCCAAACAACAGAAAGTGTACTAGATATCAAAGCAGTAAGCACTGAATGTTTACAACCTTGCTTTTAACAATTTCAAGATGTCTGTCTTCAATATCCCGAGCGAACTCAAGGTTTATATGCTTCACATTCCCGTATCTTGGCTACAAAAAGAATTTTAGAACAAGCAGACATTTTCAGTATCGCAACACGTATTGATGTACAGCAAGCAGTTTCCCAAACCTTTTAGAACAACTAGGTTAACACCTTCATTCTCTTTCCTAGCGTTTTCCCAGAAACCATATACAAATCAGAATTAATAAAGACAACGAATAAGGCAAACATAAATTCTTGTGTGAGGCAACCTAAGGCGGGTCGACCAATCATATTATTTGAACAAAAATGCATAATTATATTATCAAATGTCATACTTCTGATTATGTTGATTCTTAAAAGTATGAACTTCTAATGAACGTATGCACATTTGTGAAAAGAGTATTTTGGACTCATAGTTAGACTGGCCTAACACAAGATCAACCTTTACATCAAATTCGAGAAAAGAAGAGGGAGAAGTAAATATTGACCAGTGAGAGAGCTGACACTAGGCGATCCCCAGCATTATTCATCTCACGAAAATCAAGAACCTGACACAGAAAGAACAGAAAAACTCAAAACCCATGATCACAAGTTCAAGCTCCAATTAACACCATTTATGGGGAAAAAACAGAATGGCCTAAAGATAATTATATCTTTAAGGCCTATACAGACACACAAATGAATAATGAAAAAAAAATGTATGATTCGATCGAAAACGAAAAAGAAAGGACCCAGAAAATATATACATTAAAAATAGATGCTTTTGTAGGAGATAAAATCACCACACAGCAAAATTTTACAACTTTGAAGAGAAATAAGGCAGTTTTGACATAAAAACTACATTCGACACTCAACCACACACAAATTACCAGCCATAGAGACGGGTGGGAAATCAAATTTCTATGAATCCAAGGGCTGACGAGCAAAAGGGAGATTAGGTCTCTCTGAGGAAGCCTTGTGCTCACAATCTGCATCACTTTTGGCACTGTCTCTTTATTCCACGCTTCCATCATCTCTATTGCGCCTTTATTTTTGTGGCCCTTTTTTTTTTCTTTTCTTTTGAGTCTAGTTTTCGATTTTTCAGGTTCTTTGTGACGAGCCTTTATTTTTCTGCGACTGCAAAAAATGGATGCAGCTCAATTGGTCGACAGAAAACTGGAGTGACACTGGATTCGCACTTTATCGTTATTGCAACCTGACCCCCCGAAGCTTTATAGAATCTCATTTAGCACCTAAACTGTATCCAATACTACTAATATCTTTTTATGCATAAAACTCCTAAACAAACGAGATGCACATTACTACATTAGCTCGTTCGGGCAATCTCTACTAACATAAAAGTGTGAATATTTTTGTAAAAAATCTGTAGACTAAAATACCTCTCTGTAAGAAAAAAATTTGTAATTGTTTGTAATGGCAAAATAATACTTTTGAAGTTGTCTTTTTAAATTTCTAACGTTTCCTCTTTGGTTATCCATCTATCCACCTATTATATTATACATTCACAAATTCATCTCAATTAGTCTCATTAATCCTTGCTCTGTTATTTTTTCCTCTTTTTCCATTTCACGTGAGATCTGAATTTTCTTTCAAATCGCGATTGAATTAAGGAAGAAGGAATAGAGAGCGAATCAGGTGGTCCATTATGAAATAGCCAAATGCAAATCAAGACACAAACAAGAAATGAGAAAATGCAAAATTAAAGGGAAACAGGCGCTTTCACTCTCAGATCATCTCCATTTTTCCAAACGACAGAGGAACGGGTGAGTTTTTTCTTCTACTTTTGGCTATAGTTATTATTATTTTTTTTTCGTTCATCTTACATTAATTTTGCCTTCTTCAAAATTCCAGCCAAACTCATCAATCATTGATTTATTAACAGTTCTTTACATGTATTTTTTTTTTAAATAAAATATTATGAGTTTTCATGTTGTTTACATAAAAATTTTTCAACAAATATTATGGTTTTCCCTGTGTACAATATAATTGCTTTCCATTGTTTCTATACGCAAGTCTAACATAACCTTTACTTTCCATTGTTTCAATATGAAATTGTAAAATTACCATGTTAGTTAGTCATATAATTTTATGACCAAATATTCATCTTTGGAGTAAAACATTTATCTTTCCACATTGGCGGACAGGGAAACAGACACTTTCACTCTCAAATTATTTTATTTAAGTTTTTCAAACAAATATTATTATTTTCCTGTTTATAATATAATTGCTTTCCATTGTTTCCATTGTTTGAATATTTTTTCAAACAAATATTACTATTTTTCTGTTTATAATATAATTGCTTTCCATTGTTTCTATATGCAAGTCTAAGATGACCTTTACTTTCCATTGTTTTAATATGCAATTGTAAAATGACCCTGTTAGTTAATCATATAATTTTATGGCGAAATACTCATCTTTGTAGTAAAACATTAATCTTTGCACATTCATAACTATTTGGTGTATGCCTATGAATATTTCTTCCATTTTTTTTATTTACAGACTATTTAAAAACTCATGAACTATGAAAACGCAACAAACACCATCAACATCAAGCATATCATCATCAGGTAATTTTTTTTTCCTTTTTACATTATTACTTTTGATTTAATTTTATTAATTTTACCAACTATGTTATCAACTAATTAGTTCAATATATTTTAATATACAGTGAAAGATGTATACAGAAAAAGGAACCATGAGAAGATGAAAAGAAAATATGCTAATCTTAATGTCACACAAAGACAAGAATACATTGATACAGTGAAGAAACGTAAGAAGAAACAAACTTCCCAAATTACCTGTCTTCTGATGAAAGATCAAAGTCAATGTCAATCACAAGGTATTAATAATATATCTATTAAAAATTAATTAATATTACTTCATTCATTTAAATTAATACAATATATATGTAATTTATTTATTTTACCTTTAGGTTCAAACAAATTGCCAGCAATATGTTCAGAGATTCATAGAGTAAAGAATATGCCTAACTGTGTGCATTGTGATGCTGTTAGATTTGAGTATGAACCTCCAACGTTTTGTTGTGATAACGGAAAAGTTAAATTAGCGCCCATTCAAGTTCCTGACGAGTTATATCAGTTGTTTACTTCTCAAACAGAAGAAGCTACTCATTTTCGATCAAATATGCGTCCTTTTAATTGTATATTTTCCTTCACCTCATTTGGAGTTAAACTTGATAAACAACTTGCGTCTTCACGTCGAGGAGTATATACTTTTCGAGCACAAGGAATGGTTTATCATGATCTTCCCGGATTAATACCCAAGGATGGCACTCCTGGTTATTTTCAATTATATTTCGTCGAGACGGAAAATGAGATAAAAAACAGGACGAATATTTTTGAAAAATGCAGTTTAAACGAAGCTACTGTAGCCAAACTCATCAAGATTTTAGACCTTAACCCATATGCAAAAATATTTAGAAGGTTGAAGGACTATCCTTCAATGGATGATGTTAAAATCCATATCTCAAAAGATACAAAACTGGATCAACGGGTTTATAATTCTCCAACTGCGGAGCAAGTTGCCGCTATATGGGTCGAAGGAAATAATGCCAACCTACCATTCCAACATGACATTGTTATCCATGCCCACTCTGGAGATCGCCATAGGATAAAACATTTTTATGGATGTTACGATCCTTTACAATATCCTCTTCTTTTTCCAAGAGGCGAGACAGAATGGCATCAAAACATTAACAAACTTCCAACTACAAACTCCCATATCAAACGCAGAGGTAAATATAGTATTATAATATCTATTATAAATAAAGTAGTTTAACTTATATTATTTATTTTAAATGTTTTATTAAGAAATTATTCAACTTCTCATATGTTAATTTAACTAAATTACTTATAGGGAGGCATTCAAATGTTCATAGTGAACTCATACCATCAACAATTTCGTCGGCAACTGATGTTCTCTCGAGAGAGCAACAAGGTATGTTTCTATTTTCTTAACTTAATTATCTGTACATTCCAAATATAATGCATGTAATCACATAATAACCAAAACTCCATATATTAAATTATTTTTCCATGTTTTGTTAAGATTATTGACATATATACTACACATAATAATAAATTATTAGAATATTTTGAAAAAAAAAATATTTTTTTAGGTAACATTAAGGTTTAATATTAATTTTATAATCTACTTTTTGACATTAAAATCAAACTTAACTATTTTAAATTATTTATATTTTTATGTATAAATTAAATTAGATAAAGAAGACTAATAAATGAAATTTTTTTAAGCCAATTTATATAATTACAACATAAATGGTAGTATACATTTTACTAAATGCATTGTACAAATATAAAAGCCAATATATTAGTATACATAAATTCATTACTTATAAAATTCAACTCATATATAGTCATATATTAATAAATTTAATTTACATAATTTTAAAACAATGACACATTTTACACTAATTCTAATATTATTACCAAAATATTTGCAGTGGTCAGCAGTCAAAGTAATACAAAAGTTTCATGCAGAGAATACAGTTGCTATAGAGTTCAAATAAGAAGTCCAAGGGAATCTGTAATTCTCTTTAGTGGAAGGTTGTTCCAACAGTATCTGGTTGACATGTACATAAAATTAGAGACAACAAGATTGGATTATTATCGGCATAATCAATCGGACATGAGATGTGAATTGTACCAAGGCATAAAAGAAAGTGTCCAGAGTGGAGAATGTAGAGGCAGTGAAGTTGGAAAAAGAATTGTTCTACCATCATCATTTATTGGAGGGCCAAGAGACATGCGTCGTAGATATCTCGATGCATTAGCGTTAGTTCAAAAGTTTGGAAAACCTGATCTATTTATTACAATGACTTGCAATCCTGAGTGGCAAGAGATAAAAGATAAACTTTTTGAGGGACAACTACCTCAAGATCGCCCAGATTTAGTCTCAAGAGTATTTCGTGCAAAGTTGCAGGATTTAAAAGGTCAACTATTCAAGAAGCAGATTTTCGGAGAGGTTGTTGCACATGTTCATGTCATTGAATTTCAAAAAAGAGGGTTACCTCATGCTCATATGTTGATAATTCTTAAATCAACATATAAAATTGCCACTCCTGATCACTTTGACAAATTTGTTTGTGCCGAACTTCCATCAGAAACAGAAGATCCAGAGTTATTAGCATTAGTTGTCAAACATATGATGCATGGACCATGTGGAGATATAAATAAGAACAATTCTTGCATGATCGATGGGAAGTGCAAATATCATTATCCACGAAAATTTTGTGATACCACAACACAGGGTAAAGATGGATATCCGGTTTACAGAAGAAGGCAAAATGGATTAAAAGTTAAAGTTCGCAATGCAGAACTTGACAACCAATGGGTAGTGCCTTATAGTCCGTATCTCTTGTCAAGGTACAATTGTCATATTAATGTGGAGATATGTTCAGGAATAACTGTTGTTAAATACTTATACAAGTATATATACAAGGGTCATGATCGTGTGGCTGTTGGAATATCTCACGATAACAATGACAAATCAGTTGATGAAATTAAACAATTTCAAGATGCTCGATGGGTGTCAGCCCAAGAAGCTGCCTGGAGAATATTTGAATTTAATCTCAATGAAATTTGCCCAACGTTTATCAATTTGCCTCTTCATTTACCAAATCAGCACTGCATAAGTTATTGGAAATATCAAAATTTGGAAAATATTCTAAGTTCTGATAATTCTTCCAAAACAATGCTTACGGAATTTTTTTCTTTTTGCTCGGAGAATGAAGAAGCTCGACAATATCTTTACCGGGATTTCCCACAACATTATGTATGGGACAAATACCAGAAGTTTTGGAAAAAAAGAATAAAACAAAATGTCATTGGCCGAATAAATTCTGCAAATCCAATTGAAGGTGAAAGGTATTACCTACGATTACTCTTGAATCATGTTAGGGGACCTACATCTTTTGAAGATTTACTAACTGTAAATGGAGTACAGTGCAGATGTTTCAAGGAAGCAGCCCAAAAAAGAGGATTGCTTGATTCAGATCTTAGTGTAATGGAATGTTTGAACGAAGCTATCACTTTCCAAATGCCAAATGAATTGCGTAGATTATTTGCAATAATTTTGGTACGTTGCTCTCCAACTGATGTGAGGGTCCTTTGGGATACATATTTTGATGCATTGTCTGAAGATTTTATGAAATTCTCCAATTGCAC